TCAGTCTGCTGAAATTAGGTGAAGGAAAATTATCGTTTTTATTCTCCCATCTTATCACATTAGTACCGGCATACAACTATTTTATATTTTACATGCTTCACTAATGCGTGTGAATACAATATTAGACAACAGGGGTGACAAAACATACTTAATATCGGGTTTCCGGAAACATGTTTTCTCGCAGAACTCCCCAATTTTTGTCCTTTCTTTTACCTTCGGCTGAATTATCAGGCATTAACACATTCACTCTCGAATAATGTGTAAATGGGCTTCTTCGTTGAATTCTCCCCTCCTATACTCTTCCTTAGCCCATCTTCCAGCTGAAGTAATTTAGGAATGTGTATGGAAATTTCTACAAACATCGCTTTCTTCAGGTCTTTGTATTTCTAAATTTCGTATTTTAATAACGCAAGCATGACAAAAACATTATACCTACAATTTTATCATTGTTTTTGACATTGAGAGAATAGAAATATATCTTCGATAAATACGCAACTCTTGGAAATCTGCGTTTTTAGAGAGCAACACCGCGAAAACAGTTATCCAGTTTGATAGCAGTAAATAATGAATCACTGCAACTAAGATTTAAGAAAGTTGGTATGAAAACATAATAATAATAATCCATGGCGTAACAGCCCTCTGAGAGCCAAAGCCGACTAGCTTGACTGCTGGTCTCACGTTCACATGCCTAAGCAGAGGTGAACGATCATCCAACCTGATACAGAGTGACGTGTGGTCAGCACGACGAACCCCCAGCCATTGCTAGCTTTCCTGACCGGATTACGCTACCCATAGTTCATAGTTCTAGCTACAACTAACACTTCAGTACCTGAAAGCGAACTAGAAACAGGATATGCTGTTATATTGCATAAAAATGTGAAGAAGAATAAGAAGAATTAAAGAAAGAGAGTGAAGAATATGATCTGCAAAATAGTTTAGATAATTTACATCACAAATCATGCATTTTGCTTCTATAGATTTGTGCGCGCTACATGTCCCGCCCATCTCACTCTTCTCGACTTAATCACCCTCACAATACTGGGGGAGCAGTACAGATTTTTAAGCTCGTCATTGTGCAGTTTTCTCCACGCCCCATCGTCTTCCCTCTTAGGCCCAAATATCCTCCTCAACACCCGATTCTCAAACACCTGCAATCTGTGTTCCTCCCTCTGAGTGAGAGACCATGTTTCGCACCCATACAAAACAACAGGCAAGATTATTGTTTTGTATACTTTAATTTTCAGGTTCTTAGAAATCAGACGGGAAGACAAAATATTTTGGACTGAGAAGTAGCAAGCATTTCCGGAATTTAGTCTCCTCCTAACTTCCTCACAAGTATCATTTTGATTTGTTATTGTTGTTCCCAAATATTTGAACTTTGTAACCCTTTCAAAGGATTTATTAGCTACCCTAAGATAATTTTGCCCGCCTGTCTTCTGATGACGAGATACTAACATGTACTTAGTTTTTTCTGAATTTACTTCCAGCCCCACTTGTCTACCAGCCTCTAGTAAAACTTCTGCGTTCCTCTTTATTGTATTTATATCGTCCCCCAATAAATTAACATCATCAGCATATGCCAATAGCTGATGTGTCCCGTTCAATTGCAAACCCTCCTGCCTACCTTGGACCTTCCTGATGGCGTATTCTAGCGCAAAGTTAAAGAGCAAGGGAGACAAAGCATCTCCTTGTTTTAGACCGTTCTTGATGAGGAATGTCTCAGATACATATTTACCTACTCGAATTTTGCTGCAGGTTTCATTTAAGCACATTTTTATTAGACCCACTAGCTTCTTTGGTATACCAAATTCAATAAGAATATTATATAGCACTTCTCTCTTCACAGAGTCATAGGCTTTTTTGAAATCTATAAATAACTGATGTACAGTCCCACCGAACTCCCATTTTTTCTCTAGTATCTGACGAATGCAAAAGATCTGATCAATCGTTGATCTGTTTCGTCTGAACCCACACTGATGATCCCCAATAGTTTCATTCGCATATGGGGTTAATCTTGCCAAAAGAATGTTGGATAGAATTTTGTATGAGGTTGATAGCAGCGATATTGCTCGGTAATTACCACACTCAGTCTTGTCCCCCTTCTTATAAATAGGAATAATTATGGATTCCTTCCATTGATGTGGCATCTCTTCCTTATCCCAAATTAACTGAATAAGCTTATGGATCCTTATATGCAACCCTTTGCCACCTGCTTTAATTAATTCGGCCGGAATCTGATCAATTCCTGTAGATTTATAACTTTTCAACTTCCCAATGGCTAGTTGCACTTCATCTAAGCTAGGTTCTGGCACCAACAGTTCCGCTGTATGCATTTTAATCTGTCTAATATCACCAGTATCATGAACATTTAAGAGCTCGCTAAAGAAATTTTTCCACCTATTCACAATTTTTATTGGATCTGCAAGCAAATTGCCACTATCATCCTTTACCAAGTTGACAGCGGAAACAAAATAATTCATAATCACTGCAATGCGAAATAACTTTCACATTTTTAACTCCTTAGACTTTGATAATTTCCACCCCTGAGGACGGTACAAGCGGACAGCATTTTGTGTGAAATGACTAACCCATTGATCGTTGTTTTTACTTGTCGGATATTAAATGGCTGAAAAATAGAAATCGATGCGGTAGCAGCCTATTTAATTTTCCAGAACTTTTTTGGTTCAGTAATTGCGAAGATGAAGGCGCATTATGCCTGATTGACTGTACTAAATATCAATAATAATAATAACAAAGGAAGAAGATTATTTATTTCTGTTTTCAACCTATGTTATCACACTGTTACGGTTCGTAGTTATATGTTATTGACACAGGAAGTTTGTTGTCTCTGTGTTAAGCTACGATTCTGTCATTCTTATAACAGAAGTCGCCGAGATAAGACTTTTACGGGAAGATGTTTAAAAATTTAGTTTTCACTTCTAACCAAATGAAAGTAGATTTGAAAAGAGAATATCCTATCATGAAAATAAATGAAGATTCGGAATACAAAAACATAATTCACAAGTCATTCAGACCTGCATATTTATTTTCAAAAGCATTGGGTGTTATGCCGTTGTCTTACAAAATAAGAAGTTCAGCAAAGGTCACTGAGGCACGCAACAGGAAAATGAACTCGATGGAATTCGAATGGTCCTGGAAAGGTGCAATATACTCCGGTCTTTGGATTGCACTCCTTATCACAATTAGGTATTTTATTTTCATCACGCGACGGTCACCTCCACCGAGAGTCGAAAGAGATAGTGATCATAGTAATTCGACTTTTGAGAACTTCAGCAATTGGAGCAATTCTCATCCGCCCCCTTTTCCTGGCGGGAGAGAACATTTGATTGGCTCCATGAACGAACTTCTTGATTTTACCTGCACCCTTCTTGCTCTCATAATCGGAGTTGTGGGAGCACGAAAAATACCGGAAATATTCCGACAACTTCAGGACCTGGATGAGAACGCTGATGAAGATGGCCACATGTTACTTGGTAAGTCAAATCCTCTATATTTCTAGCGTCTGCCGCCTGACAGCAGATTTCTTTCATTGTGGGAATCACTTCGTGGTGGTTATTTGCATGGGGTGTTTATTAGCTTATGGCATAGCAACGAAATTAGAAGTAGGTTATTATAATACAGAATTTCAGATGAACTAGAAAGAGCTTTTCTCTGTGGTTTCGCATGTATCAGAGGGTAATATCAAGTCGTTATGAGGTTACAACAAGAACGCGCCGACAGAGGTATTTACAACTAATATACCAATATTGCTACCCGAATTTTGAGAGTGGCTATGAGAAAATAAAGCTTAATGTACCAGAGTGATAAAAATCAAATATCCATATTTTCTGTGAGATTTCAAATGTTTTAATCACTTTCTGTAACAACGGCTGCTGATAACCGCGAAATTCTACGACTTTCTTTCAGTGTTAATTGAAAACTAAGGTAAATGTTGGCGGTAATGAACTTTTTTCTATTGAAAACTCACTCATTGTATTGCATCATTATGTTTGCAAGGCGCATTAAAAGTGAAAAATTTATAACATTTCTTTGTAAAGGCATTGAAATCTGAAAACAGGTTGAAGATTGCTGTCTTCCGGGTTGTTGCGCCATGTAGTCTGGTAGATTTCCACCAACGTTTCAGAGGTCGTACTGCCTCCGTCATCAGGGCGATGAGCGGTTTGGACCGCTGCGGTTTTTCTGCCGTAACATATTTCATTTTCGATGCGGTGCTGTGTCCGCACAGCGGGCAGGCGGTCACAATGGAAAACGAAGAACCCAACCTGTTTGCGCGCACGAGCGGCGAAACAGCCTCACGGCGACCATTATTTGCCCGACCTTGGTGTAACTGAATAGGTGAAAAAGCCGCACTGTACAGTTCGTCCATATCGGAGTACAGTGACAAAAACTAAAGAGAAACTCTGGCTAGAAGTCTGTGAAGCTCTACTGCCGAACTCGAGCCAACTTGACAAAAAAAGTATCTGAATAATTTCTTTGGATACGTGCGCACGTCTTCATATAAATTGTGAATTTGGGCTTTTAACAACCTTTGACTTACAAGTGGAGGGAACCAAAATTTATTTCCACGCTTTGCCCTTGCTCTTAGCAAAAAGTGCACACAGCGACAGTCTCAACAAAATCCATGCCTTTACTTATCAGCCTAGAGCCCACGTCAACTGTCTCCATAAATTCCAGCTCCCAACTGAAAAGAAAACGCAAACATTTGCGTTTATTTCACCGTCCGTGTGAACAGGCAACAAGAATATGCGGTTGCGGTAGTTTTACCGCTGCGGCGAAAAAACCCCTCATGTTCGTGTAAACTCTCTTTATCTTAGGATTCAGAGGTATAATCCACTGTCTCTGAAATATGTAAGCGAATGATGAGTGATTTGGCAATGTTTAACATCAGTGTTAGTGGCGCACATCACATAAAAGCACGTGGAGTTGTAGTGCACACAAAATACCACAAACAAACATGGGTCTCGCAAATCCATCGACGTTATAACTAAAATGCGCTTGGCTGAGTAGTGTCCATTCTTATTAGGAATAGTTTTCTTTCCAACAGACTCAGCAGAACGACGCTGCCTCAGCAGATATGGAAGAATGTTCAGTGTCTTCAGTGTTATCGCATGTTGTTCGTACACACTCACAGGGACTTTCGCTGCTTCCTATTCAGCTATCAGTGTGGGCGTTCCAATGGAAATTATACTTCCATCCATGTTTGGGGTAAGTGCCCTTTTCTACTAGCACTGAAAAATAATATCACAGGACAAAGTTTGAGTTTTTGCCTGCTCTCCTTACTTTAAAAAAAGATTCTTGGGTTTCCATGTTTGCGTGGATCTATCTTCATATCTATGTATCTATCTTGAACAGATTTCAAAAGATTTGGTCTGCAATTTTTGGCATTGGAGGTCTACAAATATTCGTATTTTATAATTCCGTATAATATAAGTACCAACATGACGACCATGAAAGTTACAAAAGCATTACATGTGTCTAAAATGAGACAATAAAACGTAACAGGTAAAATTTTTGTGAAAATTATCCATGTGACCATATATTCCACTACTACTTGCATGGTATCTTGACAAACGATAAACAGAAACACTATAATTTTCCCCCCAGAAAGGTGACACTGACATTTTTTATTCTACTACATTGTCTGGATTACTGCAATGCTCTTCTTATATATATATATATATATATTGTGATATGTACTGTGTTAATATTGGACGGTACAGATTAACTGTATCGATACAAGTAAGGACAAAACTGAATTGTTCTCAATAAACTTTGTTCTAGATTCCCACATACCAAAATTCATTAAAAACTACTGATTACATTGGGTGTTAAAATATACGGACGGATAAGAGCCACTGACCGATCATGGATTCATTTTAAACATGTTTCCATAAGCGAAAACCGAAGAACTTATGAAAACCTCATATGTAATATTCAGCTAACTTTTTTTCCAGGATCTGATGAAGTTAGGAAATGCCGCAGGTGAGGCACAGTTCATCAACTTCTGCTTCTTCTTACGCCAGCGTTTTTCTGTTCTGAACGACAATTTGACAAAACTGCAGATGGACACAAGGAAGACGAAACTGGACCACTGGTTTAACGACTCATCGCAAAAGGCTCCATATGGCAATAAGAGTTGAGTAACCCAGCCATCGAAGAGTTTAATTGCAATTTAGAAAAGCAACACAGCGAAGGAAAAGTTTTATTAAAACGGCCACTTACCTTACATAAAACCGAAATTGTGGTTGTATGTTTATGTAAGTATGTACAATTCTACATCGAAAACGTATTTGGACTCACCGTGGCATAAACTTGGAATAAACCTTAAGTCCCGAAAAATAATGGTAGAAGAACGACACCAAATAACAAAGTTGTTTGTCTCGGAGAGAAAATTACCGAAACAAAGGACACAACCTCGAAAAACTATATTGAGCTGTAGCCTCGGTGAAGGTGGAATCTCCAATTTCCTAAGCCCGAAAGAAAGGGGACCCTAACACCAAGCATTTCAATATACACAAATTAACATATTCTAAATTAATTTACCAGAAACAAAATAACAACGTAAAGCAGGATAACCAACAATGGATAAAACAACGTAACGTAATACAACCTAACACTGACCAACACAGCAAAATCAAAATCACACAAACTGAACCCAACGTAATCAAACCTAACCTGACTCAAACTAACTCAAACTGGCCTAATTTAATGCAACGCAATCCAACCCCACATGATCTGATCTGACCCATCCTAATCTAACCTAAAACAACCCAATCCAATCTTACTTATATTAACCTAAATTTACCTAACGTCACCTGAACTGAACTGAATTAAAAGGAACTCTATGGAGTTAAACGGAGCTAAACAGAACTCAACGTAACTAAATGGAACTAAACAGAACCAAGTTAGATTAATCTAAATTAAATTGGCCTACATTGAAAAATACTGAACTAAAGAGAACTAAACCGAGCTACATCAAACTAAGCCGAACTAAACGGATCTGAACTAGATGAACACGAACTACCCACAACTAAACGAAGGACGGTGTATCTTTCTAATCGGAACATAACTGGTCTAAACGCGACAATAAACAGAATTGAAATGAACTAAACTGACATACACTGAGCTAATGTGAACAAATGAAAACCAAATTGAGATTAACTTAAATGAAATAAAACTAAACTGGCTTAAACGAAACAAAACCCAACAGAAATAATTAAACTAAGCGGGTCGAAACGGGAAAAAATGGAACTGTACCGAAAAAAAACCCAAACCGGACCGAACTAGATCGAACGGTACTGAATTAGATCGAAACAGACGGGACTAAACTGAACTGATTTGAACTAAACATAACTGTACTAACCGAAAGCAGCTTACTCCATTGGTGCACACCTCTTGTCCTATCTATGCTCGCTTCATGATGACGTTGGGTTCAGGGGCAATAATTTTTTTATAAGCTTTCGGGCAACAAATATTGATATTAAATGTAAACAATTTCGAATTTCACTGCAGTAACACTGCGGCCACTCTGAGAGTAATGCATATAATATAATGTTGACGTACATATTTTATACGATATAATATTATATAACATGACGACGATGTTCTTCTTCTGAGTCGCTACTCCGCGTGAACATGTACATACTCGTACATATCACAGCTTCAAACAAACATACTGGTTCCGTAATCAGCCCTGAAGATGGAGGCATAGTTATTCGATTGCTTTAAGGTACAACATCGATTATTTAAGTTACGTGGTGTTTAGTCCGTGGTTGTAATAGAATTAAGAAACAAACGTAGATGTAAAAGCAAATCGTCACGATCTGCATTGCAGGAAGTGTTCCTTTATAGACATGAATTGTTAAGGAAGTATGAATTAACTTATTCATCACGGCCATTTCGCCGATGACGTTCGAATCAATTACTCCAGATACTTAATCACTTGCTGTTCTAACTGGCTACGTCGAAAGAAGAAATGGTTAATTAATGTTATTGTTATCGAAGTTTCAAGGTTTTTGACGTTCGTAAGACACATTTTAATTATTTTCTTGGACTTAACCCATAATCTAGGTATTATGAACGCACAACTTTTCGGAAGCTGGCTCTAATTCCGCCCTTAAGTGAAACTGGGACAAAAGTCTGATCTATTAGGCCGCTGCTAGTCGACCTGATTTGAGACTGGCACGACCATTGGACACAGAAAATTATGCTTCATTCTTCCCTTTACCAGAAGACAGAAGTATAACCAGCTTCCAAAAGGTTTTTATTTTAATAATACCTAGAAGGCTGATAAACTAAAGAGAGAAACTTTAACGCACGGTTTATTGTTCCTTGAACAGGTCCACCGAACCACCTGCCTGAATCTCTGGCATCGAGAGCTCATCCACTTTGGGGAAGGGTAACGGTAGCAAATCCCAGAGTAATTTCCATGACTAAGGATGAAGTAGCAGACACTCTCGGTCGCCTTTGTCGCTGGCATCGCCGACTTTGTGACCTCGTCGACATGGTTGCCTCATGCTACGAGCTACCATTGTTTGTCGTGATAGCGTACTGTTTCGCAAACTCAGTATTCGGCGTCTACCTAGTAATAACTTTCCGTGGACCCGATAGTCTTCTTAGAATAACGGGCGTCATTTGGTCTGTCGCTTATGGCTGCCGTTTGATTCTCATTGCTGTCATCCCTTCAGTTACTGTGGCCCAGGTTAGTGGAGGACTGATGTCAGCTAGCCTTTGTTGGTTCATGAGCAAAAATTATTTCAGCGCCGTGAATAAAAAAATTGATTTCTTTAAAATTTTTAGTCTACTATACCAGCTATTTGTCACACAACATTTTTTGATAATTTAAAGCATACTCGAGTCTGAATGTATAATGAAATATGAACAAATGATGTAGTATATTCTAAAGTTTTCAACAGATTTTCTATGTATGCTCCCTACTGTTTTTGTATCAAGGCAATTTTATCCAGCGGTAGCCTAGTTTTGTTCATATTCTGCTAAACACACCATTGACTAATGCTGCATTACACGTACAGCGTCTAAATTATATTTGGCGTCGCAGACACCCAAATGACAGTGAATTCCGAATGGGTTAAGTTAGATAACCTTGATAAACATGGTTAATACCACCACGTCAAATCCATTTGTCGGAATAATGTTTTAAAAAACTCTTTAGTAAAAATCAAATACAAAAAAAAAATAATGAAACCGTGGTAATTGCAGGAACACTTGGAAATATATAACATATGTTAGCGCTGGTTTTACATTTTACATTTTAATTAATATTAAGCAAGAAATTTAAATTCATTAGCCCTGCATGATCCGTTAATGTAGCTTAAATCAAGGAAGAGAAGAAGTTTTATACACTCTAACATTATTTCTGATGATATTATTGTTTGAGAAGCAGAGGACGAAAATGTGATGTTACAAATAACAAATGTTACGGATTTCAAACCCAATCTTGGCCAGAGTTTTTTAATAAACGGCAATAAAATAATTTGCAGACTTGGCGCCGCATGTTAAACAGACTTTTACGAATCAGATGGATCGTACGGTTGCCTATAGATGAAGGAGCAGTAAACATAGATGGCTTTGTGATTAGTAACTTCCAGGTAGACAGACGGAAAGATAGATAGACCTGTAATTTTACACATAAACAATGAGTTTAAATCACAAAATGAAACTCAACATTTCTTCTGCTTCATTTCACTTGAAACCACCAATATAAAAATATACGGATTCAAGAGAATGGACATAAAGTCATGAGATTGCTAAGGCTAGATACAACAAATTTTCCTAACCACATCAAATTGTTTTACGTTTTTAATATCAATCAGTGTAATTACTTATATTAACAGGGCTCTTCATGAATCACTAGTTCTGTTTAAGTAACAGAGACTTTTCCTTTCAGGCTAAAAAGTCACGAATGCTCGTAGAACGTTTAAACAATCGATACCTGGACGATGCTTCTAAGCAAGAGGTAATTATACGATTCTTCATATCCTTATAATTAATAATTTTATTCAGACTTATATTTCTAACGCATTTTCAACAAATAAATTTATTTATTTGTGGCAATAGACGACACTGTTAGTAGCTCAGATTGTAGAGCGTAGAGTGATAGAAATTTATTAAAATTATAGTGTAATTTGCTTTTGCTAATTTCGCTTATCAGGTATTGAAGTTTAAATTAATTTTAGATTTGTAAACGAGTTCCTCCTCCATGAAAAACAATTATCAGATAGTTCTCTGGTATAGGCCTACAGATTCTCTGTACGATACAAACCTCAAATATTTTTGTTGACAGAATGAACCTCAAAACACGGTTACATTTTATCTCTATTACAGATCTTAATATTTATCAGCCATCTATCGAGCAGAAATATTTCATTCAACGTTTGTGGCTTCTTTACACTCAATATTCCATTCCTTCGTTCGGTGAGTTTTTAGAAGTAGCTTTAGTAGGTTAAATTTTTATGACGTTTTGTATATGGTCTCCTTAACCTCTATACATGGGAATTAGGTGGAAAAATATAAATAATTTCGTGTAGAATACATTTCCGTGTGTTAAATATGTTGCTATATCAAATATTTTTTTATTAATGAGTCCACACCGTTACATCTTTATTCAAAATAGTATCTCCGATCTATGTCTAGATTTCCCATACAACAGTCAATAATATGCTAATAACTCATGCCTGTTAAGTCTAAACCCTCACTGATGATCCCCAATAATTTCATCCACGTATGGAAGAAGGATGTTGGATAAAATTTTATATGAAGTTTATAACAGTCATATGCCTCGGTAATTACTACAGATTTATCGCTCTTTTTGTAAATTGGTACAATATTAGACTCCTTTTACAGTTGAGGCAATTCCGCCTTTTTCCAAATAGAATTATGGCATAAATATATTGAGACCTATTCCTCAAAGGTCATCCTAATTCTGTCTATCGTTCATACATATAATTCTATTTTGTTCTGCTTACAGATTGCTGTTGCTATAGTGACGTACGTGATTTTGTTAATGCAGTTTAAATTTCCTGAAAATTAGTACTGCTTATCTACAGAAGCTAAACTGTTTTTACAGAATGTTGCACGGGTGAACAATCGATGTAAATTATAGACTATATTTTCTGTAATACATAATATTATTCATACCAAAATCAATATGAAAATGTGACGTGTTATACTCGACACTGAACACACTGCCGTGTCAGAGCGGTGTGAGAAGTGCATAAAATTCTCACCGTATTAAACAATAGAAATAAATGCAATCAAGAAAGAATAATTACTAATATCTCGACTATGCTCAGTAAATATTTTTTATTACGAAATTGTCTGAAAGGTAAAGGAAGCCTGTTTTTAGCCCTCTTTTCATCTTTCTGGGGTAACTGTTTTGGTAAATAACATAAATTATATAAATACAGATAACATGTTATGTTATGGACGGAGAGACATATCCGGGATATTAATAATAAGCTGACACCAGTGCTTAATTTATCACCACTCCAATTAATTATGTGAATACGTACAGTTCACACTATAAGCCCAAACTAACTTAAACGAATAACTTTAAGGTCACACAAATAATTATATTTGTGGTCAGTCTATTCTAGGCCTACAGCTGTCTTTCATTTCTGTGAAACTGCTGAAGTAAACTGAGATAAACAGTGAAACAATTGAATCAGACAGCTACAACTCGATTCATCATAAGGTCGTATTACTGTAGCTGCATTGCCGATCAATCTGCTGCAGCCGGTGCAGAGTCTCGGAGCACTGGTACGAGAGGGCAGCAGACTTGCCATGCGACTACAAACTTTAATATCCTCAGGGAGGAAGATAGCGCTTCAGTGTTATTGTACCGCGGTCAATTTTTCTGTTGTATCCATAATTTTCCAGAATATTGTACAGAACAGTTCATCAAGCATTATGCAGATAACAGATATGATTGATTATGTACTTCCTGTGTAAACAAATCCATGTTTCAACCTTTGACGTAGAAGGAATGAGGGTGGGAGAGAGAGAAGATGAAGTGTTAGAGTTGCAGTAGGCACTAGTTTTAAGGGGAAGGAGGGAACATGCATTTAGATTTGCTGCTACGAAGGTCTCCTGTCAGTGCCCGTTCAGCCTCTTGGAAAAGGTTCGATTAATGAAGGCGTTTGAAATGCAAATTGCGGAACAAAGAAGTTGAACAGGGTCTCTTACTGCGGCTCATCTAAGTAACATTGAATAATTTAGCATGTACCTGAAGGAAAACAACTTCCATTACAAAGATCAACTGGTTAACACTGGTTAAGGAAATAATCCCTGTTTACAGTGAGAAGCATACAAAACCCATAACTACAAAATGCAGAGTTACTTGCTGATAAAGCTGGTGGTACAAGAAGTTTCCAACAAGTCTTGAAAGGATTAAAGCGATCCTATTTCACCACTGTTTCACATCGGTAGGTTCGCAAGTTGAATAACAACGGTATGATTTAATAGTTTCCTTATGGAGAGAATGGAAAAACTTTATAAAACAGTCTTTTCTAAATCGACTTAAGTCCCAATTTGCGGATTTCGTAACGAAAATATTGGAAAGCCGAGCTCGAAAATCAATATCAATAATTTGGCGTGATTAATTCTGAATATCACAATAACATCTAGAATGGGCTTTTAAGATGGCAAACTGTTAATAAAAATTTCAAACAGAATGTTTGAATGGGATCATTGGTTATTTAACCAACACAGTTACTTATCATCTTATGAGAGAATACTCAAGTTCTGTGCAGTGAAACTGCAAGAAAGCAGACGTAGCCCCCTCGTATAGCCGAAAGACTAAAGAAAAAACGCAAAACTTAAATCATTACATTGGTTGAGTGTGTACGTCTAAAAAATAAATTAGTAATTTTTTTCCGATTTAACCAATCAGCCCATTTAACAAGGAAAGTTTACACAAAAGAGCATATGCGTCTATTGGTTTACAAAAACATTTCTTTTCATTTAAATCAACTTTTGTTTTTGACCTGACGTAAACAATTTTGAGGAAGACTAAAAACAGTTTACTTGTTGCTGTTAATAATTACTAACATCGATTTACAATTTGCTTCTATACAGTAATATTAAATATTTCATTTGCGATAAAATTATTGAATACATATAAAAATGAGTAAAACTTTACGCTCATACTGACACAAAATGCAGTATTTTCTAACATGTTTAAGTATTCTAAACCGAGATAAGCATGAACAAGTAAATTATTACCGTGCGACAGCTGCTTTCGCATTTTCGCATTTTCGTATTTCGATACATTAGTCTCAGGGACGATTAGCATCGGTTCGAAAGAAACTATACGAGCCGCTGTTTAACCATAGCCGTTCGTACATGCTACGAAGCGTATTAACCTATCTGTACTGGTCATCTTCATTACAGTCTTAATTCATAACTACCGCTCACAGCTGCGCAGGCACAAATATTCTAAAAAATAAATATACATAAATTCATGATTTAAATGTATCTTGATCCTTACATACTTATATTAAATTGCTACGGAAAGGTATAGGAAGAAAAGAAACCAATTAAAATAAAATATCTTGCTTCAAAACAAATAAGCTAACTCACCACTTAAATTAGAAATTAACTATCAACACTACAAATTATAATAAAAAGAAGAATATATTATGTAAATTGCGACTGCATAGTTTACGTAAGATGTCATGTTTCATATTTAATGACACAATTTGTTTATAATTAAATATACACATTTTAATTGGTGGCATGCATAACAAGAGGAAAAGGGAAGAAGGACGGAGAGCAAATCGAATGCAAACAAGAACAACTTCAGCAGTGCAGCGTTGAACAAACTAGCACGGTCTAACTTCGTGCAAAGTAAGTGGCAAACCTAGAAGCAGCAGGGTCGTCAAGTAAACATATTTTTCTTAATTTAAGTGTAATGCATGGAAGAGAGCTTCGTGCTTTAGTAGTCGGGGGCAATTAGAGTGACAAGTCCCTAGTAGATGCGACAAAGCACGGAAGAAGAAGGAAAGAGCACTTTAATCTGATAATTTGTAGACTTGCTCTTAAAGTTTATGGTCATGCTTTGCAAGGAACAGGTCTGCATGTTTAAAGGCATCTCGTAAAAAAATAAAAAAACAACAACGCAGTTTGCTGAGTTTGAGGAACGGCATGCTTGCAGTACACGGTTACAAACAGATAAAAAGTGTCACATTAGACTTATTTCTTGATAGCGATCCTAGCCCGTGACTCGGTTACTTCGCTCTGTTAAGGTGTAACTTCATGGTACCGTACCTACCTTCCGCACATAATTAATGCTGCTACATATCAACTGTTGCTGATAACCGTTAATTAAACACTAACCGTAATTCTGAACGCAAATATATGAGGTTCGGCCTAGTACACTTGTCTCAGGCTAGATTCCTTATTTAATGTCTCAAATAAAATATAATTTGATTAGGCTATAAGATTTCCTTGCGCTTGTGTGCAGCCTAATAAAATCTGAACACAGCATTTCATAACTTGATAAGAACTTAATGGCATCTAATGCCACATTTGTGTAACTTATTTCCTATCATAAAAAATGCCAATATGACGGAAGAAAATATGAGCGAAGAGAGACCTTGAAAAATATGCTGTATTTGTTTATTTCACAATATAAGACAACACATGGCCCGCATTGATTTAATCACTTTAATAATATTTGCCAAAAGGTAAGTAGGCCTACGAGCGTTGACTGCCATGGTTTGAAGCATAAACTCAAATGCAGCAAAAGTAATATTTCAATATGGGTACATATGTGCATACGTGTTTCTAACGGGACGAACACGGCAAACAAGCAGAATGAATACTTTCAGCACGTCTTCTACGAATCCTACACACCTGTACAATACAGAACACCATTTAATAAATAACTTACTTTTGTTATATATTAATGTATGAAAAATATGTGCATATTTTTAAAAGTAGAATATTAATTATGGTTACAAACATATTAAAAAAGAACAACAGATCACAATAAACCACGAGACCCCTCTTCTGTTCGTTATTAACATACGTAAAAAATGCGTACAGTGTAAAGAGATAATTCGAACGTAAAACCATTGTAACAAGTTTAGAACCACAAGCAAAGAAACGTACAGAAATTCGTCTTTTGTAATGGGAAACCTGTCGGCATCGACTTTTGGGACAAAAATAACAGAGACTTTCGGAAGAATGTAGTGAAGTGTTTCAGAAAATAACTGTACCTAGAGGACGATTTTGATTTAAATAAATGAGTTTAAAGTTTTGCTAGTGTTTTAAGATGCCTGGAATTCCTTTCAGACTTTAGCCGATCGTCCGTTTTGGAAATGACTGGAAATTTTTGTAAAAATTTAAGTACGCAAGGTTTACATCTAAAATGGAGAGAAATTTTCAAACACCTTTAAAAACAGCCATCAGTCAGTTAAGAGAGTTTTGTAATTAAGTTCATCTCCATTTATTTTAATGGAGTGAAGCAACCTCATATCTGAATACAAATATATGCAAAGGCGAGATTAACGCTCCATGTTCCGTTATATCTCAGCAACAACAAATGTGTACAAACTTCGGCGCTCTAGCGACATTTTCGGTTTCGTCATACAGCTGAGTGACGAAGGAAAATTTATATCTCTGTTTATGGAACAAACTCTTTCTATTTTGTGTTTCCCTGTTACAACGACATTGGATTACGCCGTCACATATCATTGCCTTATATTACATTACTATGTCATCCCGCACTGAGGTATTTAAAATTAAAAGAATACTGTGCAACTAGTATTAAACGTAAGTAAGATCTAAGGATTTATATTCTTATGGCGGTGAATTTATCGACTGTAGAATTCTAACTTGTGACACTATGTAATATTTTTGGTGGTTATCAATGTTACTGGAAAATTTTAACTTCCATCGTCAGTGTTGAATTTGAACCTGGACATGTAGGCGATACTTTCCTCCGCAACGTTGATAACAACCTTTTAGACTACAGAACCCAGAGTTCACAAACGAAAAATGCAACGCCATTTCCTTGCTTCGTTTTGTTTCATTCCCCTTTCTTCTCTTAAAGTGTTTCCGTCTGTCCGGTTC